CAGCAATACCTTGCAAAGGAATGCAAAAGAAGGGTTCACCTTAAAGTGAATTTGTAGATTGCTGATGTATTCTCTAAATATTATTTCTATGTAAATGGACATTGCTTTATACTAATAGTTACACATCGGGCCCACTCCTTCCATAGTTTTCACACCTGCAAGTAATAAAGCAGACTGTTGGAAATCTAACGGACTATGCAAACGCCGCGCAGATAGCGAAAACATCGCGAGGCCCACTTCTCCTCATACGCCGTCGCGGCGGGCAGTGCTGACCTCTGTGGAGTTCTAACCGTTCGCAGGGGAGGGCGATGGACAGCACTACAGGAAGCGGGTCGAGCCAATGATAAGAACGACGGGTGGGCGCCATCACCACTCGCTCTTGCGCCGCGAAAGTGATGCTACCTACCACTCCGAAGCAAGTCACTTGCTCGCAGTGGGAGAGCACATCCGCATCTGATGGGGCCTGCCCTCAAACGAGCAAGGCTTTCTGGAATTGAGTGGTAGTAATCGGCCATTACCCTTTTAAAACTGCCTTCAGTAAACGGACAAAGCTGTGGTCAGGTCAAAGATCTCAGTTGATGGGTAATCGCAAAGCTTTGATACTCAAGCAGCGCAGGCCGCACCGTTGCTTAAATACCACAGAGCAGCACATAGGGTGAAAGCCACTCACCTGATCTGAATTTGAGGAAGATGCAGGGAAAGGAGCTCTCTTACTTACATGCTGTTAGGCCCCCTGTATCCTAAAATCAAAAGTAAACTCACGATATCCGATTTTGTTCCGAAGAGTGATGCATAGAGTTTTCTTAATCTATCGGCATACTGAAAAAATTCACATGTACAAAAAAAGCAGTGAATACTTCTTAGAAAATTCTTGAGGCAGACTGACGCTGAAGTATGTGTTCTGGAGTGAATAGCTCTGAACGACGTTATGGCAAGAGGCGTAGATCCCGTTGACCACTATCTGGAATGCAACAGATCAACAATGTCCGCTGGAAGCTATGAAACCAAAGAAAGGCTGACGGAAATAGTAACTGACCTTGCCGTTAGATGTCATTGGTGAATATATCCCAGTCTCAGTCACAGTTGACACTTTTGCTACTCGAGTTGTCCGCATATGCTTGCCCTGCATTGCATGATAAAAAAACTTGTAAATTACAAAAGGTAAATCAGAAGAGGATGTGACCGTTACCAGCCATAACTAGCCGTTTGGGCCAGATGATGTTAACCAAAAAGCTTTCCAAACTCACGTCCACGACTTCATACAGGCAGTCCCCTTCGACGACCTTCTCGGCTAGCACAGCTTCTCGCGATATTCCATCCGCGGTAACCTCAAGAGCATCTTCGGAAATATTTCAAGGGAAAGGTGAAATTCGAATATTTCCCAAACAGTAAACCAGTGGAAGAGAATCATAGTCAGTCTGCTATATACCCTTTTCATTCTATTAAATTGTACACTTTTCAAACAAAATCGGACGTTTTTCGAACCAAATCGAACACATCCCTCACACTGGGCAGCTGGTTAATTAGACCGCTGCAAGCCCCGCCCCAACATCCCAGCTTACTTTTCAGCGCGGTTACAGTTTCCCAAAATGTTTTGTGAATTCCACTCTTTTCACTTTCTTGCTTTTTTGCTATTTGGCTTACACTTGTCAACTGAAAAAGACTGTTAGCGACAGAGATACGAATATTTCCACTTTTTATGAAGTCGCGCAATTCGAATTTTTTAAACTTTTTTCGACGTCGTTCTTTTCACATCCATTCTTCCCGAAATAATATACTTATCACCACGCACTTCAACACTGGCACAGTAAGGCCCACCCCTGACCACGCCCACTTTTGCGTTTATTTGCGGAATTTTGATCTTTCATTCGATATTTTCGCCTTGTTAGACTGCAAAGTAGCTCCGCACACTGCTGAAAGCCCCGCCCACTTCATAGAGGCTCCGCCCACTTTTGAAAAGTGGTAAGATCGGCAGGCTAGAGTCCATACTAACAGGGTATGGTCTCCTCCGCCAACAGGCAAAACTTTCCCTAGTCTTCCGCTGTGGGTGACGGCAGCTCATGACCTGCCAGTAGGGAATCTAGCCTGTCGATTCAGATCATTTCTCAAAAGTGTAGGGGGGGGGCTTCCAATAGTGGGCGGAGCTACCTATACTGCCTAAAAAGGCGAAAATTCTGAAAAAATATTAAATGTTCCCAACTCAAAACAGGCGTGGCCAGAAGGGCGGGGCTTAATGTTGCAGTGTATAAGTGCATAGCTATGAAAACATTCGCTTTGGAAGAATGAGTGTGAAAAGACTGACGTTGAGAAAGGATGTAAAAATTGGAAATTCATAATAATCTACTCAGAAAGTGGAAGGAGTCGTGTCTGTGTAGGCATCCATCCTTCTCGATTGGTACGCACGGGCGAAATATAAAGAAGCAGTGCAAAAAAGTCATAGAAGCAGAAACCATGAAACAAACTTGGAAAAAGCGTGACTGCACTGGCTAGGGAAGGTCGTAGGTCGAAGTGGCCATTTGTAATGAGATGTAGCTCACTGGACGTGGTTTTGGACGCTGATCTCGAATCTGCCTTCGAAATTTGCAGAACGATTCTCTGAACGAAGTTATAGAGCTTTTTCCTCCGGTCATGGGATCGGACCCTTGCTGAGCTTAACTTTTTTTGCTTCTTGCGCAAACGTGGCAAAAAGTGGTTGTAGCGTCACTACTACATTAGCGCTCTCCTAAACTTGCCTGAAAAACAGTTTGCGTTCGCTTACTGGCGCGCTTGGTGCCTTGTGATCTAGGAGAATTTTTGGATGTACAGGTGCCCTTGGCGCGCAGTGCAGGCGTTTGAGCGAGTGCCATATTCAAATTATGGGAGCGAACTACGCCTAGGTAGAGGTTTCTAGCCAAATCTGGCATTTTGACCTGACTTCGAAGTGAAGCATCCATGGGTTAGTTCAGTTGATGTTCACACCTATTCAGCTGCAGATACATTCTCCTGCACAAGGCCTCGTCTTGCCACTTCTTACGCATTCATTTGTTACTGCTCCAGTTTTCCTGGTATCTAAAAGCAAATTCCGTCCAAAGACAAGCAATCGACAAGAGACTGGCCCTGGAACTATTGGTGACCATCATTCGATCAACTGCTACCGCACTTTTCAAAGTTAGGTCAAAACCTCACATCTGGCTAGAAACCTGTCCCCAAGGGTAGTTTTGCTCCCTGAACACGAATATGGCACCCATTTGGCGTTTGAGTGTTTTCTAGACTTAAAAGAGACATTCCCACAAATGCAAAACAAGTTCCCTACCGAAAACACGGACCCTCCACGGCACGCCCACGAAGCAAGACCGTTACCCCTACACCATGCCACCGTCGGGGTTCGCGGCTATTCATGCAAATTGGCTGGCAACCGCGCTCGACTCCGTGTCCCTTCATTTTAATTCTAATAAACCTTCATAATTCCTTTCAGAGAATCGTTCTGCAAATTTCGAAGGCAGATTTGAAATCAGCGTTCAAAAGCACGTCCCGTGATTTACGTCTCTTTAGAAGTGCCCATTTCGATCATCCCTAGTGAGAAGTGGATGGAAGTGTTGGTGCCGGCTTGCAGCGGTGCCTAGTGTAACCTAGATTAATCGAGTTGATTTGCAAAGTATTCGATTCGGTTTGGAAGCGTCCGATTCACCTTGAAAAGCGAAGAAAAAATAAATATTCATGGTGGGAGACGTGTACTCTACATTCTGATGCGCCTTGTACTCCACAGAACAGGGTATTTCCTTTAAGTTGCTGTGACGTTTGGCTCTTTTTTTGGGAATTTTCACAAACAACTGGTTACTGACCCCCATTGTTAACGAAGTCCTGGAATGATAAACATGCGTGAAAAGACAGAAAGCACTACCTGTTCCTTCTCAACTGCGCACTCAGTTCTGTATATGAAATGCTTTGAGGTGAGTTTCAGTTCAGTACCGTCGGATAACTCTAGCCTGAAAAGCTCAAATAACGCTAGGATGGGCCCTATTCAGAGAACACTTATAATATGAACGGTGATTCTTCGTAGAATTCTTCTTCTCCCTTTTGTTCGTGGTCGACTCTAACTCGATCGCCTTTCAAACAGTTTCACCACACTTACTTCCCTCGTATACAAACTGTACACTCGCCTCCGAGGACGGTCCTCACCATGTACTAACGAAGGGGTCCACAGCTGTAGCGACGGGCTACTACCTCCTCTCAAAGGTGGATCGGGGCTGGATGGTAGTGGCACCCGATTGTCGTCTTCATATTTTCACACTCTGCCAGCGCTATTCTCAAGCGCTTGCACCGATACCGAGATCCCACAGCGAAACACGTACCTAGCGGTAGAGAAAACCAGAAGTAAGAGAGCGCAGACAAGTAGCGCGTTCGGCGACTGGCTCGCGGGCGGAGTGCGGAGACGGCGTCCGAGCTTCACTGCCCCCCCCCCTCCCAGCTCAGTTCCTGCGCACTTTGAGCAGGGAAAGTGGCACACTACTGTAATTATGGGCCCATTCCTCCCACATACGGCAAGAAGCAGGAAAGCAGAGATGAGCGTACAGCTCGCCTTTGGAGACAGGTTCCCTGACAGACTAATGCTAGAGTCCATTAAATGTAGATGACCCGGTAACCGCGATCGCAGAGGACATTCAAGGTTTGAAAAGAAAAAGCAACAGAGATAGACCACGGGAACCCGATAGGAACCTTAGTTGAACTCTTTGTGGTGATAATGTGCTGAGCTTTCTCAATCGTCGTTCTGGTCTTTCTCCAAGCATACGTTTTCTAAGGGGAAGGGGCCCGGACACAGTTTTGAAAACGTTCTGAAAATTTTCAACATTCCTATAGCTCCAGTTATTTCTTCCGCGGGCGGTGGATGGGCAGTCCAGTACGCATGCCGACTTATGAGCAGTTAGCCATAATAATCAGCAACTTACGGATAATGTCGAGATTCCCAAAATGGAACTTTTGAATAGGGTTCATTCTGATAGAATCTTGAATGGCTGATTACGAAATATGCAGATTAAAATTGCGAGGGCAACCTCCCAGAAGAGTTCTGGGCGGTCAAAAATTGCGAAAACTCGGTTTTGTCTCGTAAGCGCTGCTGATTCGTTACAGACAGTTGCCAACCGTGGCCTAATGGTAAGGCTGCGTTTATACTTCGCGGCAGCGTAGCGTAGAGCGTACGCCAGCATTTCGCCAGCGCGTTTGCAGCGGCAGGGGAGTAGAAGATATGTGGCCTAAGAGACGCGCAAATCTGATGTGTATATAAAAGACTGAGGCGATGGAGACGCGCATAATTGTTTTGTACCCTCCAGCTCTCCCATAGTCTCCACTCCCTTGCCGCGCAAACGCTAGCAAAACGCTGGTGAAACGCTGGAGAAACGCTGGCGTAACGCTAGCGTACGCTCCCCGGCACTGCCGCTGGCGTACGCTGGAAGCGCTACGCTACGCTGCCGCAAAGTATAAACGCAGCCTAATGATCTCGCTTCGAAGCCAAATGCTCGTAGAGTTGCATCCCGTTGGCGCGAAAATCCTTGCTTCGTCCTCTTATAAGAGCTTTCACTCTAATTTTCGAGATTCTTCTTTTTGCCTAATAAACGGCCCCAGCCAAAAGCAGGTAACCTCTAAATAGATCAAGTGTATGACGCAGTCGATCGAGTATTGATTGATCACCATTTGTCCACTCTGAACTCATTACCCATCCGTCAATCCGAAGTTTTGGCCAGAATCACAACTTGGCCAGAGCACGGATATCACATCCGTTTGACGCGAAAATGATCGGTTTCTTCGTTCAGTTGAAGACCACAAAAACGTGAAAGGCTACAAGCGTTTTCTCGTCGAACTCGAATATGAATATTCGTTTTCAGGGGGTCGAAATACCTCCAGGAACGAGTTTCTGGCCAAAACTTCGAATTGTCGGATGGGTAATGAGTTCAGAGAGGACAGATAGCGACCAAATCCATACTCGATCGAGTACGTCACTTGATCTACTTGATCTACTTGCTCTGCTGGGCCGTAAACTCGGAGGAATTTCGAAAATTAGAGTGAAAGCTCTTATAGGAGACGAAGCAAAAATTTTCGCGCCAACGGGATGCAAACCCACGAGCATTTGGCTTTGAAGCGAGACCATTACCACTAGGCCACGGTGGCACTGCCCGTGACCGATCAGCAGCGCTTACGAGACAAAACCGAGTTTTCGCAAACTTTGACCGCCCAGAACTCGTCTGGGAGGTCCCCGTAGCACTTTTAATCTGCATATTCGTAATCAGCATTCGAGACTCTATCGATGTACCTAGGTCTCCATTCAAAGTTCCATGGGAAGTTCAAACCATTCCCTTGTTAAACCAGTGACAAGGCGAGTCTTAAACGAAGAAGTTCAGAAGTTAGCCATTGACATCTATCGAGGACACACCTGATGAATTCTGCTTTTTGTGTCGGCACTCTGTGAAGCCAGAAGGATATTCGGGCGTACGTCACCTGAAAATTATGTTCATTTGAAAATGTTAGAGGATTAATCTCGTGATATACAGTATGAAGAACACGTAAAGCCTCACCTGGCCATCTTTCAGAGTCTGAACCCAATCGTCACTCTTCAGTTCGTCAAGTCGCTTTTCTTCACCAGTGATTAGGCGAGTCTTGAATGAAAAACTTCAGAATCTTATCACAAGAATGCTGGGTCATGAGGTGAAATTCTTGACAGGAGGCGACTCAAACCAGCATCTCGCGATTCCCGGTCTAGCCCGCTTATCTTATCTAGCTCTTCTGCCGTAGAGGCATCTGAAAAGACAATCGTAATAGATCGTGCTGGTGGGCGTGGCGAGCGGCACCGTGCCTGACAGACGAGTTTTCCGGCGCTGCCGTTCAAAGTTGAGTGGTAAAGGGACAGGGAACTCCGAGATAGCGGATCATGAAGTCTAGTCTCCACTTTAATAATATAGGTTTCGCTGCTTCAATCGTCCAAAATGATGCACATCAAGAACTTGCAGTGCATCACCGCACGACACGCCGCGCGCGACAAACGCGACAAATTACGATCGACATTGTCTCCCCCTGCCTAGTCTTTTACAGCGTGCAGACTTCGTGATGACGCGTGTCGACGCGCCTTGCGTGCTAAAATCGCAATAGCGCTCCAGTTCCTATGGACGCGAACGCAGCTGCAGACAAGGAATCGATTGGCGCCGCCCCAAACAGGCAGTGCCGATCAATTACAAATTGCGTACTAGTGCGATTCCGATCCCATTCCATCATACTCTCTCAATAGAAAACGCCGCGATCGCTCACCCGCGTTTATGTTTATAGTGTTGGAGCGCTGATGCAACTGAGGCACGTTACAGCGCGTTTCAGCGAGTCGATGCGCATCATCGCGCAAGTCTGAACGCCGCCTTACTTTTGGAACACCAGTAAATTTAAATTTAACGAAATTACAACAGGTGCTTCGAACAACAGCGATTATATCAGAACAGGTTCAATCAGAGTGTTCTTCACATAAAAAAGCGGAAGTAGTATATAAGTATAAGTAGTATAAGTAGTATATTTTGCCATAGCAACACCATCGCCATTATGTTTGTATTTGTTCACTTTGAAACATACGCAATGATCGGAGCGTGTGTGAGGTAACGAGTTGTCGAGGGTGAGGTCCACACCTTAAAGAAGTGTCCAGGCTTCTAATTTAACATCACGGGTCACACCTTTCATCAGCAAGTTGCATAAAATGGGACATCCGCCTCGCGACCGCACGCGGAAGCAACCAAGGAGCGCACAACACAGGTGGATGAACCACAGAACCCAATGGGTAAGTTGTGTCCCGGAAGCCTATGATTCCACGACGTCCATACGGTCTAGAGAACCATGAAGAGTTAGTTTAATTTGATATGATTGTTCGATTTTCTTTATATAGCCTCCGCGGATGTTGTTGTTGTTTATTGTT